TCTGGGGGGTCCTGAGAGGATTTGGGGGATCCAAGGGAGAGCCAGAGGGGATTTGGGGGATCCAGAGGGGATTTGGGAGATCCAGAGGGGATTTGGGGGATCCAGGGGTGATCCAGAGAGGATTTGGGGGATCCAGAAGGATTTGGAGGGTCCCAAAGGGGATTTGGGGATCCAGAGAGAATTTGGGGGATCCAGGGGTGATCCAGAGGGGATTTGGGGGGGATCCAGGGAGGGGAAATGGGATTTGGGGGATCCGGGGGGATTTGGAGGGTCCCGAGAGGATTTGGGGGATCCCGAGGGAATTTGGGGGATCCTGGAGGGGATTTGGGGGATCCAGGGGTGATCCAGAGGGGATTGGGGGGACCCAGGGGAGATCCCAAGGGGATTTGGGGGGTTCCAAGGGAATGGAGGGGATCCCGAGGGGATTTGGGGGATCCTGAGAGGAAAAATGGGATCTGGGGCATCCCGAGGGGATCTGGGGAATTCAGGGGGGGAAATGGGATTTGGGGGGATCCGGGGGGATTTGGGGGATCCCAGAGGGAATCTGGGGGGTCCTGAGAGGATTTGGGGGATCAGTTTGGGATTGTTTTGGGATGGCTTTTGGGATGGGGGATCAGCTTGGGATCATTTGGGGATTGTTTTGGGAATGGGGATCAGCCCGGGATGGGTTTGGGATTGGTTTTGGGGTTTGGGATCAGTTTGGGATTGGTTTGGGATCAGTTTGGGATTGTTTTGGGCTGGTTTTTGGGATGGTTTTTGGATGGTTTTTGGATGGTTTTGGGCTGGTTTTTCGGGATGTTTTTTGGGATGGTTTTTGGGATGGTTTTTGGGATGGTTTTGGGCCGTTTTTTGGGATGGTTTTGGGCCGTTTTTTGGGATGGTTTTGGGATGGTTTTTGGGATGGTTTTTGGGATGGTTTTGGGCCGTTTTTTGGGATGGTTTTGGGACGTTTTTTGGGATGGTTTTGGGATGGTTTTTGGGCCAGGGATCAGTTTGGGATCGGTTTGGGACAGGTTTTGGGCTGGGTGTTTTGGGTCCCCACCGTCCTGCCCCTGGCGCTCAGGGCCCAGCTCCAGTTCTCCCGCATGTTCCGGTACCAGTTCAGGGCACCCCTGGGAGAATCCGCAATGAGCCGGGGGGATCCCGGGGAGATCCCGGGGGGATCCCGGAGATCCCGGGGGATCCGGGCTGGGATCCGGGCTGGGATCCGGGCTGGGATCGGGCTCGCACCTGAAGCCGGATTTCCGGAACTGCCGGATGTAATATTCCAGCGCGGCCGGGGGCAGCAGGCGGCTCACGGGGGGATCCTCCGGGAATCCCACCAGGAGACCCCCTGGGAAGAGAGGGATCCACCCGGAATGGGCCCCCCGGGATCCCCCCATTCCCGGGATCCCCCCTTGGCATTCCCGAAATCCCTCAGGATCTACCCGGATCCCTCGGGAAATCCCGCGGGATGCCCCCTCAGAATTCCCCTCAAAAACCCTTTGGGATCTGCCAAATCCCGGGGAATCCCATATTCCCAGAGGACCCCCCTTTTGGGATGGCTTTTGGGATGGGGGATCAGCTTGGGATCATTTGGGGATTGTTTTGGGAATGGGGATCAGCCCGGGATGGGTTTGGGATTGGTTTTGGGGTTTGGGATCAGTTTGGGATTGGTTTGGGATCAGTTTGGGATTGTTTTGGGATGGCTTTTGGGATGGGGGATCAGCTTGGGATCATTTGGGGATTGTTTTGGGAATGGGGATCAGCCCGGGATGGGTTTGGGATTGGTTTTGGGGTTTGGGATCAGTTTGGGATTGGTTTGGGATCAGTTTGGGATTGTTTTGGGATGGCTTTTGGGATGGGGGATCAGCTTGGGATCATTTGGGGATTGTTTTGGGAATGGGGATCAGCCCGGGATGGGTTTGGGATTGGTTTTGGGGTTTGGGATCAGTTTGGGATTGGTTTGGGATCAGTTTGGGATTGTTTTGGGATGGCTTTTGGGATGGGGGATCAGCTTGGGATCATTTGGGGATTGTTTTGGGAATGGGGATCAGCCCGGGATGGGTTTGGGATTGGTTTTGGGGTTTGGGATCAGTTTGGGATTGGTTTGGGATCAGTTTGGGATTGTTTTGGGCTGGTTTTTGGGATGGTTTTTGGATGGTTTTTGGATGGTTTTGGGCTGGTTTTTCGGGATGTTTTTTGGGATGGTTTTTGGGATGGTTTTTGGGATGGTTTTTGGGATGGTTTTTGGGATGGTTTTTGGGATGGTTTTGGGCCGTTTTTTGGGATGGTTTTGGGACGTTTTTTGGGATGGTTTTGGGATGGTTTTGGACGGTTTTTGGGATGGGGATCAGTTTGGGATTGTTTTGGGATCATTTTGGGATAGTTTTGGGCTGGTTTTTGGGATGGTTTTGGGTTGGTTTTTCGGGATGGTTTTTGGGATGGTTTTGGGATGGTTTTGGGCTGTTTTTTGGGATGGTTTTTGGATGGTTTTTGGGATGGTTTTGGGATGGGTTTTGGGATGGTTTTTGGGACGTTTTTTGGGATGGTTTTGGGCTGGTTTTTGGGACGTTTTTTGGGATGGTTTTGGGATGGTTTTTGGGACGTTTTTTGGGATGGTTTTGGGCTGGTTTTTGGGCCAGGGATCAGTTTGGGATCGGTTTGGGACAGGTTTTGGGCTGGGATCCCAATCCCGATCCATTCCCAATCCCCATCCTAATTCTGATCCCATTCCCAATCTTGATCCCAATCCTAAACCCATTCCCAATCCCAATCCTGATCCCGATCCCAATCCCCATCCCCATCCAGATTTTGATCCCATTCCCAATCCCAATCCCAATCCCAGTCCCAATCCTGATTCTGATCCCAATCCCATCCCTGATCCCAATCCTAATCCCAATCCTGATCCCAATCCCCGCCTCGATCCGAATCCAATCCCAAATCCTGGTTTTGATCCCAATCCCACATTCCCAATCCCAGTCCTGATCCCATCCCAATCCCCATCCCCACCCCAATCCCAATCCTAAACTCATCCCCATTCTGACCCTGATCCCAATCCCAATCCCATCCCAATCCTGGTTTTGACCCCAATCCCAATCCCACATTCCCAATCCCAGTCCTGATCCCATTCCCCATCCCAATCCCAACCCCGATCCCAATCCCAACCCTGATCTCAATCCCAATCCCAACCTCGATCCCAATCCCATCCCAATCCTGGTTTTGACCCCAATCCCATCCCAATCCCACATCTGACCCCAATCCCATCCCAATCCCACATCTGACCCCAATCCCATCCCAATCCCACATCTGACCCCAATCCCATCCCAATCCCAAATCTGACCCCAGTCCCAACGCCATTCTCAATCCTGATCCTGATCCCGATCCGATCCCAATCCCATCCCCATCCCAATCCCCATCCCGACCCAAATCCCAATCCTGATCCCCAATCCCGACCCCAACCCCAATCCCATCCCAATCCCAAACCTGACCCCAACCCCAATCCCAAACCTGACCCCAATCCCAATGCCATTCTCAATCCCGATCCTGATCCCGATCCTGATCCTGATCCCAATCCCAACCCCATCCCAATCCCAATCCCGTCCCAGTCCCAATCCCAATCCCATCCCAATCCCGTCCCAATCCCATCCCAATCCCAATCCCGTCCCAGTCCCACCCCCCATTCCCACAAGATCCCCCACTCCCAGGGGATCCCCCAAATCCCAGGGGATCCCCCATTCCTGGGGTCCCCACATTCCCATGGGATCCCCCAAATCCCAGGGGATCTCCCATTCCCAGGGAATCCCCCAAATCCCAGGGATCCCCCAAATCCCAGGGAATCCCCCAAATCCCGGGGGATCCCCCAAATCCCAGGGATCCCCCAAATCCGGGGGGATCCCCCGTTCCCGGATTCCCGACCTCTCTCGCGGACGCGGTGGAAGTTGAGGTCGAAGGGGAGCCGGTCCTGCGGGATCGGGGGATCAGCGGCGGATCCGCAGGGATCCCAAATTCCCGGGAATTCCCGCATCCCCAGGGATTTGGGAACGCCGGGTAACAGATCCCGGCAATCCCAGGGGATCCCAGGAAAACGATGGGATCTGGGATGGTCCCAGCCCGAGAGATCCCATTGGATGCTCCAAAAGCACTCCGGGATTTCCCATTCCTTTGGGATCCCAGCCCAGCCCCTCAGCCAATCCTCATCCCGATCCCGATGTCAATCCCAATCCCAATCCCAATCCCAATCCCAATCCAAATTTCTTCCCAATCCCAATCCTGATTGTGATCCCATTCCCAATCCTGATCCCAATCCTAAACCCATTCCCAATCCCAATCCTGATCCCGATCCCAATCCCCATCCCCATCCAGATTTTGATCCCATTCCCAATCCCATTCCCAATCCCAATCCCAATCCCAGTCCCAATCCTGATTCTGATCCCAATCCCATCCCTGATCCCAATCCTAATCCCAATCCTGATTCCAATCCCCATCCTGATCCTGATCCCAATCCCCGCCTCGATCCGAATCCAATCCCAAATCCTGGTTTTGATCCCAATCCCACATTCCCAATCCCAGTCCCAATCCTGATTCTGATCCCAATCCCATCCCTGATCCCAATCCTAAACTCATCCCCATTCTGACCCTGATCCCAATCCCAATCCCATCCCAATCCTGGTTTTGACCCCAATCCCACATTCCCAATCCCAGTCCTGATCCCATTCCCCATCCCAATCCCAACCCCGATCCCAATCCCAACCCTGATCTCAATCCCAATCCCAACCTCGATCCCAATCCCATCCCAATCCTGGTTTTGACCCCAATCCCATCCCAATCCCACATCTGACCCCAATCCCATCCCAATCCCAAATCTGACCCCAGTCCCAACGCCATTCTCAATCCTGATCCTGATCCCGATCCGATCCCAATCCCATCCCCATCCCAATCCCCATCCCGACCCAAATCCCAATCATCCTGATCCTGATCCTGATCCTGATCCTGATCCCAATCCCAATCCCAATCCCAACCCCATCCCAATCCCAATCCCCATCCCCATTCCCGACCCCAACCCCAATCCCAACCCCAATCCCATTCCCGATCCCGACCCCGATCCCAAATGCGGGGTCACCTCGGGGCTGGAGGATCGGATCAGGATCTTCAGGGTCCTCCCGATGTCCTTCTCCAGCTCCGCCTCCGCCACGCCCTGAAACAGCGGGATCGACCCCAAAAACACCCGGATAAACCCCAAAAACAGCGGGATAGACCCCAAAAACAGCGGGATCAACCCCAAAAACAGCGGGATCGACCCCAAAAACACCCGGATAAACCCCAAAAACAGCGGGATCGACCCCAAAACCACCCGGATAAACCCCAAAAACACCAGGATAAACCCCCAAAACAGCAGGATAAACCCCAAAAACACTGGGATCGACCCCAAAAACACCCGGATAAACCCCAAATCACCGGGATCGACCCCAAAACCACTGGGATAGACCCCCAAAACAGCAGGATCAACCCCAAAAACAGCAGGATCAACCCCAAAAACAGCGGGATCAACCCCAAAAACACCCGGATAAACCCCAAAAACGCCGGGATCGACCCCAAAAACACCCGGATAAACCCCAAAAACACCCGGATAAACCCCAAAAACACCCGGATAAACCCCAAAAACACCGGGATCGACCCCAAAAACACCCGGATAAACCCCAAAACCACTGGGATAAACCCCCAAAACAGCAGGATAAACCCCAAAAACAGCGGGATCAACCCCAAAACCAGCGGGATCGACCCTAAAAACAGTGGGATGTAGGATCAGGGGTTTAGGATCAGGGGTTTGGGATCAGGGGTTTGGGATCTGGGGGTTGGGATTAACAGCGGGATCAACCCCAAAACCAGCAGGATCGACCCTAAAAACACTGGGATGTAGGATCAGGGGTTTAGGATCAGGGGTTTGGGATCAGGGGTTTGGGATTTTTGGGATTTGGGGTCTGGATTTGGGATTTAGGAACAGGAATTTGGGCTTTGGGATTTGGGGTTTGGGAATTGGGCTTTGGGATTTGGGGTTTGGGATTTAGGAATAGGACTTTGGGATTTAGGAACAGGAATTTGGGATTTGCGGTCTGGGAACTGGGATTCGGGATTCAGGATTTGGGATCAGGGGTTTAGGATCAGGGGTTTGGGATCAGGGGTTTGGGATCAGGGGTTTGGGATTTTGGGGATTTAGGATCAGGGGTTTGGGATCAGGGGTTTGGGATTTTGGGATTTAGGATCGGGGGTTTGGGATCAGGGGTTTGGGATTTTGGGGATTTAGGATCAGGGGTTTGGGATCAGGGGTTTGGGATTGTTTGGGATTTGGGATCAGGGGTTTGGGATCAGGGGTTTGGGATTTTTGGGATTTGGGGTCTGGATTTGGGATTTAGGAACAGGAATTTGGGCTTTGGGATTTGGGGTTTGGGAATTGGGCTTTGGGATTTGGGGTTTGGGATTTAGGAATAGGACTTTGGGATTTAGGAACAGGAATTTGGGATTTGCGGTCTGGGAACTGGGATTCGGGATTCAGGATTTGGGATCAGGGGTTTAGGATCAGGGGTTTGGGATCAGGGGTTTGGGATTTGGGGGTTTAGGATCAGGGGTTTGGGATCAGGGGTTTGGGATCAGGGGTTTGGGATTTTGGGGATTTAGGATCAGGGGTTTGGGATCAGGGGTTTGGGATTTGGGGTTTAGGATCAGGCTTTGGGGTCGCACCGGCTCCTGGAAGTAGAGCTGGTACTCGAATTCCGGGATCCGGGCCAGGCGCTCCAGGACGTCGGAATCGGGGCTGGGCGGCCGGAAGGGCGTGTTCAGAACGGCCACGGCCCTACAGGGTATGGGGGATTTTATAGGGGATTTTATAGGGGATTTCATAGGGGATTTTATAGGGGATTGATGGGGGATTTTATAGGGGATTGATAGGGGATTTATGGGGGATTTTATATTGGATTTATATGGGATTGATAGGAGAATTTATAGGGGATTTATATGGGATTTTATATGGGATTTATATGGGATTTTATATGGGATTTTATATGGGATTTATAGGGGATTGATAGAGGATTGACAGGGGATTGATAGGAGATTTTAGATGGGATTTTATATGGGATTGATAGGGCATTGATTGGGGATTTTATAGGGGATTGATAGAGGATTGATTGGGGATTTATGGGGGAGTGATAGGGGATTTTATAGGGGATTGATTGGGGATTTATGGAGAATTTTATATGGGATTTTATACAGGATTGATAGGGGATTGATTGGGGATTGATTGGGGATTGATAGGGGATTTTATATCGCATTTATATGGGATTTATGGGGGAATGATAGGGGATTTTATAGGGGATTTATATGGGATTGATAGGGGATTGATAGGGAATTTTATATGGGATTGATAGGGGATTTTA